GTTTGGCGCCGTCACGGGCAAAAAACTGTGTAAATACCAGCGTTTCAGCGTCCAAAAGTGGCTAAAACACCGCTATTTACAGTGTTTCGTGCCTTCCACGTTTTCTCGAAATTGCAAAAGCAGTGTAAATACCAGCATTTTTTGCGATCAACTTGCAAAAAATGCTGTAATTTACAGTGTTTTTTTGCTTTGCTTTCAAAAACACTGGTATTTGCAGTGTTTTGTGCATCTCCGGTCTAAAAAGTATTGGTATTTACAGCATTTTCTGCGTTTTTTCATTGCTCCCGCAAAAGACGTCAAAACGCAAACATGCTGTAATTTACAGCATTTTGTGACTTTCGAAAAGCGAAAAATCGTCCGAAAAATGTGTCAAAACGGCGCTTTTTTCCGATTTTAGGTACCCTCAAAACCGGGGGGAGGGGGAATGCTCTTGGAGACGCTGATGAGCGACCCGGATCCCGGCCAAAAAGCTCTCCCCCACCCTCCTGAAGGATTTTTGGTGTTTTTCGGGGCCCGGCGTCGGAGGGTCGGCGGTTGGGGGCGCGCCTCACCTTAGAGCTCTAGTCGCTCTGGGACGCTCGTGACGCATTTGTCAGCGTACTCGTGGGGAGCCGGCGGAGCCGAATTTAAGGGCTGCCGCCCCCTGCCGCCGACCCCGGAAGAAGTCATGTTGAGAAGGTCATGTAGGGAAAGAGACGAACTTTCCGGACAAGCAGCGGCAACGACAATGCAGCTTTTACCGCGTGTGTTTGACATGCGAAACGAAAAAGCCTTGCGCCCGATGCGGCGTCGCGAAGTCGGAGGCTGACTTCGGGGCGGCAGCGTGGAAGGCGCGACATGCAGAGAGACGGTGTTGTCGAACATGCGCAGCGAAGCTGCGCGACCACTGGAAGTGCAGCCACTGCCAGGAACGCAAGCCTCGTGCAGAATTTTCTGCGTGGCAGGCCACGTGCGCGCATGCACAGAATGGCACGCAACAATGCAACACGTGCGTGTCATTGGCGTTGGTTTGTCGCGTCGCTCGCAGAGCGAACCAACGCGTGCTGCGTTTGCGCAACCGCCTCCAGAGGGAGCGCGAGCAAGGCATTGTCGAGGACGTCCGACGCGAAATAGCGGCAATAACCGAACGGAGGGCAAAGACGAGCGCGCAGGCAACACTTGGCGCCATGGGGTTACCGGGCCGCAAACGCAGGTCGCGAAGGGCTCGCGCGAGTGGCAAGTGGCGCGGGCGGCCCGCACAAGTTGCCTCCCGCGTGCGGACCCCAAGAGAACACGGACGACACATTCCACTACACGTGCCCGTTTTGTGAGGCTGCCGTCAGCAGAATTGTGCGTTCTGGCCAATGCCAAGTAGATCACCGCAGGCATTGCGGTAATCGATTTCAGGTCAAAGATGGATGCGTCGTGACAAAGAAGATGGTGTACCAGTGCCCGTTTTGCGATGGCGAAGTGAGCAGCAACGTGATGACCGGGCAAGTCAACCATGGCAGCGTGTGCGGCAACCGATTTCAGGTCAAAGATGGATGCGTCGTGACAAAGAAGATGGTGTACCAGTGCCCGTTTTGCGATGGCAAAGTGAGCAGCAACGTGATGACCGGGCAAATCAACCATGGCAGCGTGTGCGGCAGCTGGTTCTATGTTAAGAATGGCAAAGTCAGCGATGCACCGCGAAAACATATGCACACATGCCCGCGGTGCCAAGCCGCCGTGTGGTCAGGCAGCGCGTCGGGGCGAATCCGCGTGCAGCACAACACACCAGCGGGACGCCCGTGCACACAGAAGAGCTGGAAGAGCGAGGAAAAGAAAGAAGCATAGGCTAGGACATGCTGCTGAACCGCCAAGGGCCGCGAGGGAGATGACGATGGAATCTATGAAACAGTGGTTTGCTCCATGGGAACTAGCTGCATGGACAGTGCGGCCTTGTTTGTGTAGGTCAGCCAGTGCTGCTGTGTTAGTTCTATGGTCTCGCGGTGCGTTCTCTTCCGCCAGTATTCTTTCTAACCTCCCCGCAATGACATCGCACATGGCTGCTGTCATGTTTTAAGGGCAGCCTAGTGCCTAACGTTGCTTTCTGAAACCAGAAGAAAATCTCCAGGAAAGCGCCCGGCAGGTGGCCAAAGGACATGCTGCTGGGCCGCGAAGGGCGCCGGGAAAAAGGCAGGTGGCCAAAGGACATGCTGCTGGGCCGCCAAGGGCGCCGGGAAAAAGGTTTAAGGGCAGCCTAGGGCGCCGGGACACGTTTAAGACGTTTAAGGGCGGCCTAGTGCCTAACGTCGCTTTCTGAAACCAGAAGAAAATCTCCAGGAAAGCGCCCGGCAGGTGGCCAAAGGACATGCTGCTGGGCCGCGAAGGGCGCCGGGAAAAAGGCAGGTGGCCAAAGGACATGCTGCTGGGCCGCCAAGGCGCCGGGAAAAAGGTTTAAGGGCAGCCTAGGGCGTCGGGACACGTTTAAGACGTTTAAGGGCAGCCTAGTGCCTAACGTTGCTTTCTGAAACCAGAAGAAAATCTCCAGGAAAGCACCCGGCAGGTGCCCAAAGGACATGCTGCTGGGCCGCCAAGGCGCCGGGAAAAAAGTTTAAGGGCAGCCTAGGGCGTCGGGACACGTTTAAGACGTTTAAGGGCAGCCTAGTGCCTAACGTTGCTTTCTGAAACCAGAAGAAAATCTCCGGCAGGTGCCCAAAGGACATGCTGCTGGGCCGCCAAGGCGCCGGGAAAAAGGTTTAAGGGCAGCCTAGGGCGTCGGGACACGTTTAAGACGTTTAAGGGCAGCCTAGTGCCTAACGTTGCTTTCTGAAACCAGAAGAAAATCGCCAGGAAAGCGCCCGGCAGGTGGCCAAAGGACATGCTGCTGGGCCGCCAAGGGCGCCGGGAAAAAGGTTTAAGGGCAGCCTAGGGCGCCGGGACACGTTTAAGACGTTTAAGACGTTTAAGGGCAGCCTAGTGCCTAACGTTGCTTTCTGAAACCAGAAGAAAATCACCAGGAAAGCGCCCGGCAGGTGGCCAAAGGACATGCTGCTGGGCCGCCAAGGGCGCCGGGAAAAAGTCAGGTGGCCAAAGGACATGCTGCTGGGCCGCCAAGGGCGCCGGGAAAAAGGTTTAAGGGCAGCCTAGGGCGCCGGGACACGTTTAAGACGTTTAAGACGTTTAAGGGCAGCCTAGTGCCTAACGTTGCTTTCTGAAACCAGAAGAAAATCTCCAGGAAAGCGCCCGGCAGGTGGCCAAAGGACATGCTGCTGGGCCGCCAAGGGCGCCGGGAAAAAGGTTTAAGGGCAGCCTAGGGCGCCGGGACACGTTTAAGACGTTTAAGGGCAGCCTAGTGCCTAACGTTGCTTTCTGAAACCAGAAGAAAATCTCCAGGAAAGCGCCCGGCAGGTGGCCAAAGGACATGCTGCTGGGCCGCCAAGGGCGCCGGGAAAAAGGTTTAAGGGCAGCCTAGGGCGCCGGGACACGTTTAAGACGTTTAAGGGCAGCCTAGTGCCTAACGTCGCTTTCTGAAACCAGAAGAAAATCTCCAGGAAAGCGCCCGGCAGGTGGCCAAAGGACATGCTGCTGGGCCGCCAAGGGCGCCGGGAAAAAGGTTTAAGGGGCAGCCTAGGGCGCCGGGACACGTTTAAGACGTTTAAGGGCAGCCTAGTGCCTAACGTCGCTTTCTGAAACCAGAAAAAATCTCCAGGAAAGCGCCCGGCAGGTGGCCAAAGGACATGCTGCTGGGCCGCCAAGGGCGCCGGGAAAAAGGCAGGTGGCCAAAGGACATGCTGCTGGGCCGCCAAGGGCGCCGGGAAAAAGGTTTAAGGGCAGCCTAGGGCGCCGGGACACGTTTAAGACGTTTAAGGGCAGCCTAGTGCCTAACGTCGCTTTCTGAAACCAGAAGAAAATCTCCAGGAAAGCGCCCGGCAGGTGGCCAAAGGACATGCTGCTGGGCCGCCAAGGGCGCCGGGAAAAAGGTTTAAGGGCAGCCTAGGGCGCCGGGACACGTTTAAGACGTTTAAGGGCAGCCTAGTGCCTAACGTCGCTTTCTGAAACCAGAAGAAAATCTCCAGGAAAGCGCCCGGCAGGTGGCCAAAGGACATGCTGCTGGGCCGCGAAGGGCGCGGAGAAAAAGGCACGTGGCCAAAGGAGCGTTTGAAGCCAGGGTACTGCCCAACGTCTCTTTCTGAGGGCACTGCCTAACCTCTCTTTCTGAAGGCACTAGGAAAGCTCCAGGCGCTTCCTGACGGCGCTGGAAAAACTCTGTAGGCAAAGGCCCAACAGATGGCCAAAAGCGCCGGCAAGGGGTACTGCCTAACGTCGCTTTCTGCAGGTAAGCAAAGGCCAGTGGAATGCCTCTAACTGTCGCTCTACAGCGCCAAAAAATAAGTTTTAGCACTCATGTGACCACTCCTCTTTTGAGACATCTGCATATGTTTTCCTCCGGTCACCCAGACATGTCAGAACATCCAACAAGAAGTATGCACCACAGGAAATCCATAGAAACGAGCTCCAAACCTTGGAATTAGCCAGCCCTGCGGCTACCTGCTCGCAGCACCAAAACACCGTGGCAGCCAAGGACCTAGCAACAACATTTCTTCTCGGGCGCGCTCCCCCTGCAGTTTGCTGGGGTCGGCGGATAATTGGGACAGTTTCTTTCTCTTGGGCGCAGTCCTCAAAATATCTCAAAATGATGTAACTGATGTGACCGGAAAAACACTGAGATACTGGAGCATCTGGGAACGTCATTTTCCATAAATTGTGATGCATGTTCTCTTGGTGCCGTCCCGGAAAAGACAGGACTGCCATGCTTAAAAGGTTTCAAGACTTTGGCTCACATACATGCGTGTATATATATATTATGTATACACAAAGCGGCGTATTTCTACATTGTATAATATTATATCTAAATCATCCATGCATATCCCGATACTATTTTCCATCATTTTCCTGATTAACATCTTCGTTTTGTTGGTGAATAATTATCGCCACGTTTTGCTGGTTGATATCCTCACCCCTTGGTTCACACCTAGGACATGGTTTTGGTCCAATGTGGAGCGGCTGCTGTCTGACTTGGATGGCAAGTTGCAGGCCTCATTGGTTCCATTTCTTGGCCCCTGAATTAGGTCCCAGGAGCAGGATGGAGCCGCCTGAAAAAGGAGGTAGATCAAAAATGAAAACGTAGAACATAGAGAGAGAGAGAGATATATATATATGATATATGTACGTACATACCAATAGTGCGGCGTTGGAAGATGAGGGTGTTGATCAAACACATATGGGAACGGAAACGAATAGAACATCAGCTAGGGGCCACCTCGCCTTCTGCAGTAAATAAACTCAAATCACTTCCACCCCTCATAGATTGTACCTTGGTGTTCTTGTAGCGTATGCAGATTGCTTGTGCTGTTGTTTCTCAGCCTTGCTGCCCAACATCACCCTTTGAAAAGGTGCAGGAGCAAGAGCTGGAGAAGTTCATGCAAAGCTCCAAGAGGCTGGAGCACGTGGTGCAGAACGTCCACCTCAAGTTCTTTGAGATCGCGCCGGCGGGTCAAGAATTCTTCAAGGAGTCCAAGACTCGAATGCACGCCCTGGACATGTTTGCTGCATTGCTGCATTGCTGGCTGAGGGATGGTTCTGGCTTGGGATGCTGTGGAAACTGAGCGACTTGTGCTAATCATGACCCGCCCATTTGACAATGCTTTGCCCATTGGTGCCCCATGTCCCAGCCGTCCCAGCGCCCATGGCAGGTATCACATAGCCGAACGCACACTGGAACTCACTTTGTCGATCCACCGTGAGCCAAAAGAAACTGTGGATCAACTGTCCTCTCTGGGTCTCAGACATGCAGCTGGGACCTGGTGAAAGATTCAACTATATTACTGCGCACTGCTGCACACACACACACATATATAATATGTCATCATTTCTATAGCACCCCCAAAACAGATGTTGAAACATGTTGAAAAGTGACTTGCCGGGAGTTGAAAAAGACAATTATATGTACGAAGCACATTTCCAGGTGTCCCACTTTTCTATCTATTTCGAGGTTGGCATATGTTATTATATAATATTATATATACTGATCTCCAACTGCAGCAAGAAGGTTCCGGGGTTGGAATGTATCGCAGCAGCCATTTCATTTCTTTATTGCATCAAACTGACCGGGGTGGCTTTCCTTTCTGGCTTGTGTTTTGCCATCCTTAGAGTTTCAGATTACATTTGCAATGGCCAGTCATTGCCAGTTCAAAGTTTCAGGTTCGACGCGTATGCACCGTGATGTCACAACCCATGGAAAGAAAGTGAAGAAAGGTATATGTAGAAAGGTAATGTATGCAGTAGTCCTTTTGGATCCTTTTGGCATATTTTAACATTGCATATCACTATATCAGTACCATATCATGTTGAATGTATCTCACATATCTCACAGTATCTTACTGGCACATCTCCGAACTTGACTCTGACGCCTGCTGAGGTGGGTATGTCAATCCCAGTGGAATTCTTTCCTCCCTTTGTGCAAGCTGCCGTCGAAGCTCTCCAGGCTGTGGGTAAAGCAATCAGTGCTGCTAAAGCCTTTTTCTGGTGTATCTATAGGCTTAACATGGCTTAACTATAGTGATATCACTCACCATATCTCACCATGATATAATAGTGAGTGATATAACTATGGTGATTCATAGTGATATAACTATAGTGTTGTCTTTTTTTCGGCCCACATCTTCAGGAGGTGACGAGTGATGAGATGGTGGTGAATGCCTTTCGCTGGTCGTTTGGTCTCGATTTGGAGATGCGTCATGTGTGGTGCTGAAGGGAACATCCCCGCATAAATCACTGTGCGCATAATTGTTGGCATTGCGCGCTTATGATATTATGTAATATTATGTACTGCATATGGAAATACATAGAATTAGATCGACAAGGAGATTGATGAACATGATAAACTACAGTAGATTGGATTGCCTTGGCACTTTGTGTTGTGTGGCCTTACCAGGAACAATCAGAAGGCTGAATTCCTATCAAACGCCTTTGCGACAGGAATGACCGACAGAGACAGATTTTTGCGCAAGGCATGAGTCCTTTTGCAGGACCTGCCGAAAAGATCGAAAAGAGATCTAGCCAACAATGTGACATACTTCACAGATCTTCACAGCAGAATTGCCCACAAGAGACTTGATACCCCTTGACACATCAGCACTTGGAGACAGCTGTTCCTCAAAATTGTGGCTGGATGCAAGGTCAGTCACGCTGATTGGCAAGATCCTGTCTCGCACAGTTACGGAAGGCGGGGGGCCGTTTCATTGAGTTTAGACTCTTGTGGCCATGCAGTCGCTCTCTAACTAAATACAAAAGAAAAAAGGCAATCCTCGACTCACACTCTAACCTTGATAGTCTAGAAGCCAGCTTCGCGCAGTGATAAGCACACAAACCGCGGCCGAGCTATCCAAACATTTGTGGCACAAGGTTGAGTACGAAGGGAGCCATTGCAGAGCCTGCCTAGTTCCATCTAGTTCCACAAGCGTAGAAGCTCACGCTCACAGCAAGTCCAGGTATTCCTTGTGACATGCGGTCCTAATCTCTCCATGATCGTCAGTTGCACAGGTTGAAGTGGCTTGGATAGATTGAAATCAGTAGGTATTAGATGGTATTAGATGGTATTATATAGATTTATATAGTAGAAATCATGTTTGAAGCGTGGCAGTTGCCACACCAGGAGTCTGGTGGGTTTCACAGCTGCTGCTCCCCAAAGAAATTGCGCAATATAATATGATTCATGTTGACAAAGGCATTGGCAAATTGGACTATGGCATTAGTCCAAACACTTGGCCAATCCAAAATAAACACCTTCCAGTGAGCCAGGGAGTCCTTCCAGTGCGCGACTAAGGGTCATCCAGCGATGTTCCATGCTGAGTTCTGAAGACATCATGTGGTTAGGCAAATAAAAAGAAAAGCGAAAACCAACATGTACGATTTGGGATAGGTGCAGAAAACCTGGACCTCCCGGCCAGACTCATGTTTTTTTAAATCTAGCCGAGAATCCGAGATTCTAATAGATTCTATATATTCTTAGTACTCACTTGTAATGTCAACATTGTCAACCCCGGAATTTTTACTAACCCCTGGGCTGTTGATCATTTATGATCATGCGGGAGTGACCATTTTAGTATCGAATTCTTGCCATGTGGGAGGAATCCATAGGAATCCCATAGGAATCCCACATCCCTCTTGGTTGATCAACATTTTAGTCAACCAAGGCTATTGATCCAGGGCCGACATTATGGAATCATTATATTTAATATAAAATTTCACATGTTATCTAACGTGTCTATATGATTTTGGATGATATATACACGGATCAACGGATCAACGGGTCATCCATGGCCGCCATGGCCCGATCCATAGTGGATGACCTGCCAGGCTCCACTTTGGTCATGCGCGCGATCACCCTGAACGAGCGCCTGGCGCTGCAGAAGGCTGTGGCGCTCACGGCGCGGAGCCAACGGGCCTCGCAGCTGCTGTATGTCACTGGGTGTGGTTCAGCGAGTGGATTGAATGGATAGTGTTGGTACTTTCATATGGGTTCATGGGTATTATATATGGTGAGTACATGCGGTTGTGGTGAGTATGTGAACGTATATGTTGGTGCAAACTCAATCATCAATAGGGAGCCCAGCGAGAGAGAGGGAGATAAAAGCTGGATATGCAGTACAGCCAAACTCAACCAACATTTTCTTGGAGGTCAAATAGCACACTTTCATGACTGAAACAGCCCCTGGAATGGCGAACCCCTTGATTTTAAAGTTGGTTTATTTGCCCAGATGAACTTGTTGATTGAGGCAAGGAATGGAGGTTGCACAATCTTGCCACAAACGCTTACGATAGCATGAACCATTGCAGTAATGAAGCAAAAGCCACAGCGATTGTGTGCCTCCGTGAGTACATAATTCAAGCAAACAAAAACTGGACACGTCCCTTTCAGATGCTTCAATGGACCCTTTCATCTTTTGCTTTGCCATCAGCGAAGCCCAAACATGAAAACGTCCATCCATTTTTATTTTCTCTTTGTAGTTGGGCAGGCTTCTGCCTTTTCCAATCCCTTCACTTCACATATGTCCCATGGCCCTTGATGCAGCAGAGGTCACAGTCGGCACTCGCTCGATCTCTCCCCTGCTCTGGGCCATTGAAAATGCTTCCCTCACAGCTGCGGACGCCATTCTTCAGGCCCAGACCGTGGATGAGCCCAGCTTTGCTCAGCAGTAGCATGCTGTAGCAATGCGGAACTCACGATCTAATGATATGGAGGTTTCCATTTTGATAGGATTTTCCAGTATAAACCATCCAGCTATTGGGGTACCCCCATTTAGGATATATGCACTCAGTAAGAGCAGCTACCAAAAATAGCTCAAGCTGATGACCTTTTGTGACACTCAGCCCTTGCAGGACTTGCTGACAATTCGCGCAGACCGTCACAACTATTACTATGGCTGTGACGCCCTGCTTCTTGGACCAGGGGTTTGGTGGGTCCACATTCGTGTCCTTGTCGCCTTTTCTTAAACAAATATATAAATAGCCAGGTTCATGGGATATTTTTGGCCCACCTGCACATGACCTTGAGTTTGTGTCAGGATTCAGAAGGCTGTTGCGGGTTTCTTTGACAACACGAAGCATCAAACACGTTTCTCAGGTTTGCACGACATCCGGACATCATCCAACTGCTCATTGACCGGGCACGACCTTTGATGCCGACCTTGCTGGATGGGTTGATTTGGAGATCCCGCTATGCAGTGGAAGGCAAAAGACGTGTGAATTACTATGTGAAACATTTGATTGAAGATAGCGAAGGCAACTTCAACCAAGCTCTCAAGTGGGTGACGCAGCTGAAAGATGGACCATTTTAGCTTTCTTTCTTGGCCCTTTTTTGGTCCCAGCTTATTGGCTGAGAATGAGACATCGTTTTTTACGACACAAACTCAGGTAGTGCAAAGCAGAGATACTGAGCTGGTTCGCCATCCCACCTTTGAGCTTGTCTCTGATACAGTTCCCCAGCTACCAGCAGATGCCAACATGGGAATGAGAACCTAATGCACTGTGGGGATTTCTAGCAATCAATAAGTAGAAAGAATATGGATAGAAGATCACTACACCTTTAAGGCTACTTTTCAGGGGCGGACCATACCAAAATGTAAGATACATTTTTTGGGACCCCCCCTTAAATGTAAAATTGGTCGCTGAACGTCCCCCAGGGGTCGTTTTTGTGTCTTTTTGTGGGGAGGGTCTTCAAAATACCTTCAAAATGTAAGCTTACATTTTCAGGGCACCCCTCAAAAACACCCTGAAACATGCAGCTTACATTTTGGGCACACGCTCCCCCCTGAAAACGATGGTGATGATAGAAGGTTTTCTGGGAATTGCTCACGTGGCAACGAAACGTGAATGAAGTCATTGTTAGACTTCTCACATCTTGCCATGGCTGGTCGCGCCTCAAAGACACCAAGGTTTGGGAGGGCCTCGCTCTTCGTGCGTTCGCGCTGGACCATGGCATTTTTCTTGGCTTTCTGATCGTTTTTGTCACTCGAAAGCTTGCAGTTGTTGTGCAGTATGGTAACCTTGAAACTTCCAAAGAGGAGCTGAAACTTATTCATTTACCCTTTGGTAAACTAAGATAGCTATGGAAAATCACTATTTTACAGAGGTAAATCAACTATTTACATCTATTTCCATGGGTCATTTTCAATAGCAAAGTGTTAGTCATTACCAGAGGGTAACCCCGCAGACTGGTGACTTCCCAAAAAAGGCGACCGCCCAGTCCTTCTTGCAGCACACCAACAAGGGCAATCCAGAAGCGGCAACGAGAACCACCATCTTTGCATGTCGTTTGATCATCTACCAGGGAAACATCCCCCTGCTTTTGATGCACAACTTCATGCAGATGCGAGCCAACTTTCGGGACGGAAAAACTGTGAAGTTTTGGCGTCTCAGATACCCTATGTACCTGCAGAAGGCCAACAACTTGTACAAAATGGGACTTCTGATTTGCCTCAGCTTGATGCACCTGATGATGTGCTTTAGACATTTGCATTTTTCCACCCTTTTTGAACAGAGTTCTGCGGGATTTTCACCCCTAGGTCAATTTAAGGGGATGTCAAACTCTTCAATTTTCACCTGAACCTGAAAGCACGTTCAAGCCGATATAAGCCGTTCTTCACCGGCAACGCTGGGAGCGTTTAAGCCGCACCAGGTGCCTCTTGGATCCGATCCTTTGGTGCCTCAGTGCCGGTGACTTTCAGGGTGCAGGTCTGTTCACGCAGAAATGTCCCCGTGCCTCAGGATTAAGAGACATGGCTTGAACGCTTCATGTGGGAGCCAAGGTTCCTACGGAGGTCATCGGTTGCTATTAGATTGTGGGGATTATATATAGAGGAAACAAAAGATTGTTGTAGGTTGTATGAACTCCGTGGTAGTTTCAAATGTGCTTTTGATTTTCCACCCCCAATGTACTCGCTTGGAATGATTGCTCCAACCAAGATCTGATGCGGATTTGGTTCGGTTCAAACCAAGCATCACGAAGACTGGGCGAACCATTGGGCTCGTGTGATTCTTACTCATATACCCAAATGGCAATCTCTGGGGTTCTCCAAATGTTCCAGTACATTGAGAGCATTTCCACTGTGAAAGGCTCCCTGCTTGCCCTGGTTTCGAAGCAAGAATCCGTGAAACCGCAATTTGAATCGTGAGACAACATACTGTGAAACAATCAAGAGTAAAGTCAGTATGACGAGCGAATCATAGAGGCCAAAGTCTGAGTGCAGGCGCAGCTTTTTCTGGTAAGGAGATGTTTATTCCGTGTTGTCCATGCTCACCAGCCTCTTCTACTGGCTGATCCTCGGCAGTCTTTCGGGTCTGTCGATGCGGGTCTCAGCATACTGTTTGCTTTGTGGTCAGGCGCGGTGGTTCCAACATGACAGGTGCAGGTTGCTATTTTTGCTGCACTGGGCCATTGGGGCCTGGACCTCATTCTTTTCATGCTCGACAGGTCATTGGGGAGCTGGGCCTTTTCTTGGTCTCCATGGCATTTCTGATCCTGAGCTTCGCAAGTTCCTTAAGTGCTTTAGAGCATAGCAGCTGGGCCTTCTCTGGCCTTCCTAGGGCAGCGCTGTCCCTGTGGGAGCTCTCTTTGGGAATGATCTCTTCCAAACAACTTCATTCGCTAGGAGACGGGGGGTATCCAGGTGCAGCAAAGCTGGGGAATTCTGGAGAATGGAGCTGAGTAGGCATACGTCATCGGGATCAGTTCTGGAAACGGTTCTGCTGATTTGATCAAATGATCAATGTCAATATGGGTCACATCGGCCAGCGAAGATTTGTTGAAGTGGAATTGACCGCCACCACCATAGCATGTCATCTCATTAAATTAGCGGTTTTGAATGAGGATGATGAGGGTGCTTGAAACATCTTGAAACATTTGAACCACGTTTGTAAGATTTTGTAGGTACTTGTGTGACACTGGGCGCACACACAGACACACACGCACACATACATACACTATAATACGACATACACAATCATATATATCACAAATCCAATGTATCCTATGGGCTGGTTTCAGCGCTTTCAGCTACCAGGAGACGATTTCACCCTCTATTTGGCCCTGAGCATTTTCGTCACTTTGGTGCCTCAACCTGGACAAGCTTGCAAGACACCAAGTGGGGACAAAGGCAATACATACACATACATACATACTTACTTACTTACTTACTTACATACTTACATACCTACATACCTACATACCTACATACCTACATACCTACATACATGGATACATGGATACATGGATACATGGATACATGGATACATAGATACATAGATGCATAGATACATAGATACATAGATAGATAGATAGATAGATAGATAGATAGATAGATAGATACATAGATACATATAGTTACATACATAGTCATACATACATATACATACATAGACATACATACATATACATACATATACATACATATACATACATATACATACATATACATACATATACATACATATACATCCCGGCGGGTTGTTTATCGAACCCGTGTTTTCAACGTTGGCAGTGTTCGTCATTGATTTGATACCACAAATCACAGTGGTTTTGCATCTCTCTCAAAGTTCAATTTCCTTAAAAAGTACGCGCGTACTTTTCACTGGATATGTAAGACACCTCAGCGGCACTCTCTTTTTTTCTGCTTCACAATTTCTGCAGTGAGCTTGGAGAGGTTTTTGTGGGAGCTGTTTTCCCATCTCCACTGCCAAGCGCGAACATGCGTCCAAATCTTGCCATTGAGTAAGGTTGGATTCCTATTATATGTGACGAAGTGCAAGACGACATACAGTGGAGTTGCATCATGTATGTGAGGAAGTGAAAGACGACGTACACTAGCGTAGCATCATATATGTGAGGAAGTGCAAGACGACGCACAATAGCGTAGCATCATATATGTGAGGAAGTGCAAGACGACATACAGTGGAGTTGCATCATGTATGTGAGGAAGTGCAAGACGACGTACACTAGCGTAGCATCATATATGTGAGGAAGTGCAAGACGACGTACAATAACATAGCATCATATATGTGAGGAAGTGCAAGACGACATACAGTGGAGTTGCATCATGTATGTGAGGAAGTGAAAGACGACGTACACTAGCGTAGCATCATATATGTGAGGAAGTGCAAGACGACGCACAATAGCGTAGCATCATATATGTGAGGAAGTGCAAGACGACATACAGTGGAGTTGCATCATGTATGTGAGGAAGTGCAAGACGACGTACACTAGCGTAGCA